AAAAAATAAAAAAGTGTTAAAAGCATTCTAATTTGTTAGCACAACATAATTGTGATATTCCGTCGTGGTAGCATGTTTCTCTTGTTGATCGAGAAGTCTATTTATGTTCTAATCAATCAACAAGTTCAGAAATACACAAGACTTTGAATGACCAGAACTACCTGAGGTAGTCTGAATTAAGTCGAGCTGAATTGATGCATGATTTCCGTAACTTCAATTTCCAGTTTCCGCCTTTGTTTACTATTTGATTTCAAATATCAGAACAAGGAGAGGTTATCAGTGTTCAACTGTAGCACTATGAATGAGATATACCAAAGATCATTCAGTACTTCAATTCCTTCTTTCTCTCATAACCCTTAGGAAGTGCCTACTTATTCACATTTCTTTTCATGTTTCCTTCTATTTTGTTTTTAATTATTTATCATCTAGAGAGCTTAAAGTCTCACTTTTAAAAGGAAGCTTTAACTAGGTTTCCAGAAATTTTCAATATTTCAAAGACTTTTTCACAGTTTTCCGACAAATATTCTCATTATGGATATAAATTTATTGATCATGTAAAAGCTTAAAGTTCTTGCGTGAAGTAATTTTTCTTTAAAATTAATAAAAAATTACCTTGCGGCTTTCTGAATTCGCTCACACTGAAGTTCTGGGCCAGATAACTTCTTTTTCCTTTCCTTGTTCTTCTAAAAAATGATACACGTTTATTTCTTCCATGTCAGCATATCTAATTATTTTTTAAATCAATAGCAAATGAAATAATCACTAATTCAAGCAAATTAATCATTAATATTTTGTTAAGCTGAGCATGTGATGGCAATGCAATGTGTCATCGAAATTTCAAATTATTTTCAATCAAATTTCAAAATACACTAAATTCAAAAATAGAAACAGAATGGGTCGCGAGGATTTTTGATCTAATCATGCATCAAAACAATTCCTCTTTCTAACCTGTTATCGCCCTTTTGTATATATTTAAATTTTTTGATGAGAAAAAAAGAAAAAAAGCAAAAAGCAAAAAATGATCTGGATTATGATGCATCAAAACTGAATGAAACTTTACGCCACAGAAATCTCTATCGAATTGGCTTTACACTTCAGTCTTCGTGTTGGAGTAGAAAAAAGTTAATACGTCTCCTTAATTTCTTTAATTTAATTTTAAATTAAGAAGACTATATCATTCATTAATAGTTTTGGCTTCAATCAAATACTGCTCCTTAGTGTGTTAAAAAATAGATTTATTGCTTTATGTGACTCTTTTTCTCGAGTTTTCCGTTATTTTGGTTGTAGGAAGAGTGCGGTAACGAGAATCGAACCATAAATCTTCCGCTACTAATGAATCACTTGTACCGCAGCTCATTAACAACAAAAAGTTGAAGGTGTACGCACCAACAGAGAAATAAAAACTTTCAGTGGTACTTTTATTTATGCTTTATTCCTCTCTTTCATAACCCTTTCAATGTCTTTTCATGCGAATTCAAGATAGGATTATCCGCTTGGATGCACCTACCGAATGGAGTGATAATTATGTATTTAAAATAAGTGATCAGATGGGAATAAATATACGAATGATGCTCATCAAAATTGAGACAAGCCGGGGTTTGTTGATTATCTTAACATATGGATATTCATGGGAGAAGAAATTAGTGGAGAATAAGCGAGGAAAATAAAGGGAATTAGTGTTTAGAAAGATTTCAAATATCTTTTTCCACCTGAAAATATGAGAGGTTCGGTCAATAAAGGAAATTTGGAACTATTCGTTTCTATTTTAGAGTAACTAAAAATGGAAACAAAAGTGGGAACATTCCATGAAAGACATAGAAAGGAGAAATGTTGGAAAGGGACACGGACAATGTGCTATATCGTCCAACTTTCCTCTTCCTCATCAAATTTCTTATGATGAGATGGAAAGAACGGAAATGTATGAAATAAAAGTTGAGGAATATTGAAAAATACAAAAAAAAAAAAACATATTTGACCT